GCTACTTGGTCTGTTGGCCATAGCTGGAAAGCCAGCTTTCATTATCTTTGCTAATCCACGACGGGAAAGTCTCGCCAGGTTGACAGTGAAGTTTGATGTCTGCACAAGACACATTGGTTAGAACTGGACTTCCACAGAAAGATCTAAAAATAGCAGGAGAGCTAGAAGTAGTTCAGACTTGTCCAAAGGTGCTTTTTGATTTGATCTCATTTATAAGATTTTGCTTTTGTATTTCACTGACTACACAGCTAAGTTGTGTCTGTGTGTCTCTGTACAGGAACTGAAATTCACCCTTGCAGTCACTAAGATGAAGGGCTACTTTGAGGCTTTCTTTGAGCAGCACCCTCCATTTAAATTGTCTCTCATAGAGATTAACACTGAGGAGACTGTATGGTCTGCTACCATCAGAGAAGGTACCGGTGCATGAGTCTTACTTTGGAGACACTTTTGTCTTTTGGAAGTTTGTGTTTATGTTGACCGAAAACCGAATAAACCAAAAAGGATTCACTGGTCCACGTCCATCTTTTGCTCTTCCCTTAGGTGACTGTGTGGATAACACTGAGAAGAAGCCGCGGAAAAGGACAAACAGTATGCTGGCTCTTTCACTTTTTTGTAATCCGATTAGACTTTAGCACGTTTTTAGCTTGAAAACATTAACTGATGTTATATCTGTCTCTGAAATAGGCAGACAGAGAAGCAGCAGCCCCTCAGAAGACGAACTAGCCTTTAAAAGAACTCGAATGCAAGACGAGCCAGGTATCTTTAAGTGTCTGACTGTGATTTCAGCAAAACTTCATGAACAACTTTATGGCCAAGTCAACAGTTCACACCTGAACTATTCCAGATATGCCTAAAATCTTACTAAAAACAAATACCCATGTGTTTATGTGCATCTTTCTCCAGATGGAGTGAAAACAGCGGCCACTCAGGGCCAGGACATGTCAGAGAAGCAGCTGCTACAGGTGGCCAAGCGGCTCGGGAAGGAGTGGAAACAGGTGGCTATCTTTCTAGATGTTACCTCCAAGGAGCTGGATAATATCCAGACAGCAGAGACAGATGTGACCATGCAGAAGTTGAAGATGCTGTTGATGTGGAAGAACAGGAATTCGGGAGAAGCCACGGCTAGGAATCTTTTGGAAAGTGTGAAGGAGCTGGATGACTTGCCAAATGAGGTTCATCAGACATTACAAGGTACAACACTGCAAACCTAAACAATTTAAGATGGTGATGAATGCTCGTGAAGAGCAGGCATGTAAAAGTCAACCAATCAAATTGTTGTTAGATGGAAAATCAAACTGATCAACCTACAGAGGGCTGAATTCAGGGACACCCCAAAAATCAAAGTAAAAAAATAATCCAGCAGACTAGTCTGTGTTACCAAATTTTATTGCAGGAAGTAGTTTGTATGACCCACACATGCTTGGTATCCTGAGGGATCTTTTCCCATATCTGGACTAGGGCATCACTGAACACCTGAGAGGTGCTCGATTGGATTTAGTCAGGCAGCGAGTCAGGGGTATAAATGCATTCACCTACATAGCCTCTCCACGTGTGATCGGGCAGCAGGAGGAAGCCAGTACCCACTGCACAAGTCTAGGGTGTGACAATACGATTCAAGGAATTCATCCTGATATCTAACTGCAGTCATTGTGCCGTTGCCTAACCTGCAGAGGTTCGTGCGTCTCTCAGACCATCACTGACCCACCACCAAACCGGTTAACGGGTAACTGAACGACGTTAAAAGCAGCATAACCTTCTCCGCGGCTTCTCCAGCCTCTCTCACACGTGCTCAGGGTAAGCTTGCTAAATAAGAGTCTCCTGGAATCTCCTCCATGCTCTTGAGACTCTGCCGGTCAATCGCAAAGGCACGTATTGACCTGCTGGGTCCAGGTATGGCCAACTGCTACCAGCGGTGACACTGACCCTAGCTGAGGAGGGAAAAAATGCGAGTGTCCTCAACCTGTAAAACATTCCTGTTTTATGGGTTGTCTCATTGTTCCTCCTCTTGCAACACCTGTTGTTTATTTCATTAACACCAAAGCAGCTGAAACCGATTAACAACACCCTCTGCTGATTAACTGACCAGGACAAAATCCCAGAACTTTAACTGACTTGATGCTTTGCTCAGATTAAAAAGTGTTCCTTTTCATATTTTAGAGCAGTGTATACAAATAGCCATCTGCACAGGCTCATGTAGAATCTGTACAAAAGGGACAAGCCTTTTGTTATCAGTATGCATAAGCTGGTAATGTTTGAGCAAGCTTCGGTTACATGCAGATAAACAGTCCTTTCCACGGAGCACAAAAGATGGATGCCATTTGAGAAAATGCATCAGATAACCATCAGCTATGGTCTGCTGATGATTTATCTTGTTTTTCTGCATTAGTCAAACAAATATTAGCTGGTGGAAAGGAAAATCTTAGTCCAGATATCCCCTGGATACACCAAAAGCCCAGAAAAATACAGTACTAGTGAGATGACATATTTTATTTGATGTATTTTTGTAGGCTAACCCTGGGACTGAGGACCACACCTGGTTCCCTTTGAAAACAAACAAACAAAAAAAACAGTGGGACTTTTCCACTTCGTGGATAATTGCAAAACAAAACTGGGAAATAAAAGGTTATGACTGTACATGTTTCATTCAGCAAGACAATCTTGACCAATTCTTGTACTTTTATGTGTTTTGGGTTTTTTCTTTTAGTATATTTTTACTTTTTAATAGGTGTAAATAATTAAAATCTTTTACCAAATGAGGCTCGCAAGTTTGCGATTCTTGGAGAAAAGTAAAATCCTAACATCGGAGTTTATAACTTAGGCATGTTCAGTGTGATGACGTGAATGTCTGAAGGATCATGAAACCGCTTGTTAACGAACAACTTTTACTCTAAAACAAACTGTAAAAAATACTCCAAGCTTCTGTTAGTCACTGACTTTATTTCAGGCATCTAACCAAAAAACTGTTCTAAAACCCATCACGGTTAGGACAGGGGAACCCGAAATACAAAAGGCTCATTTCCAGGAACCGTAGAATGGGACAGGCTCCCAGAGGCCAACTCATCAGAGTAGTTGTGTTTGCGATGAGCTGAAACTTCTTGCTACTTACCTAAATAAAGTATGCATGACAATCCCACCGATTCTATGTACTGCAGTACAAATATTACTGTCTCAGCAGCTCTTTCACTCTTTAGGTGAAGAGCACTGAAAATTCAAACTCAAAGGATGGTACAGAATCTTAATTCATTATTTTTTGTTTGTTGTTTTCAGATATGATGGTTAACGAAGCGGTAAAGTGAAAGGGAAAATGAAAATGAATTCCATTACTCTTGGATATCATCGGCGGGAAGAAACGATCTCAGGAACACAACAGAGCAGAGTTAACGTCTCCCTTCAGTTTGCATTTCTCTTTGAATATTTTCTAGATATGAAACTGATTTGTTTATAGTTCTGCATTTCATAAAAAGGAATCATTTCCTTTTGTTTCCCTTCTTTAGGTCAGCTGTAGTTTTCTTGGGTTCTGTGGTGAGTACAGAACCAACTGTGCTGTATCTAAGGATACAGAAATAAATTAGCTTACCTTTATCTTTAAGCAGGTAAAAAAAATGACCAGTAGAGGCGTAGAGGTCATTGAGATGTTTAGTAGCTAATTATGTAGCCAGTAACAGATGTAAATGTTTGGTGCTGCAGTGTTGAAACTGCAAAGACATCTGGAAAAATCCATCCATTTGTGTGTGTTCTTTCACTTTTGAATGTTGGGCTTGTGGGAATTTTTATAAAACAATTAGGCATTATATCACGTGGACGTGAAAATGACTGTCCACAGAATTACAGACTGAACTATGAAACTAGTTTGTGTTTTTGTAAACTTGTCCGCACTATTTCCTGTAAATAGATTCCATTTCATTGTCACTCATGTTTTTTTAAAGCCAGTTATGTCTGTTTTTTGTCTACATGTCCTTTATTTGATGCGATAACCGTGACTCTGTAAAACAGCTGTGCACGAGGACCAGAAAATGATGCTGATTATGTTTAACTGGGAATTACGTCCTGCCCTCCGGAGGCTTGAATGCATTTCTTTTCTTTTTTTTTTGTTTTTTTGTTTTTTTCCCCCAAATGTGTAATCTTTATGAAAAACAAAAATGCAGCATGTTGGGATTCAGGGATAAATTTAGGTGTTTTACCTGTGTGAGTGCAGCTAAAACTAAGCAACGTATATTTTAATTCAGTTTTTTGAGGATTATTTCGCAGATCTAGACCTCAGGTACGATTAAGTACAATAAAATCAGCAGGAACATCTGCGGAAATCTTTCAGGTACCAATTGCAAATGTTTTTGTAAACATTATTTGAGAAAACCACAATGTTTCATTCAGAGAAAAGGGTTGTTTCCTTAAAAGAAAAATACCACTAACAGTCCAATTTATCCCTGTTACAAATGTGTTTGTTGTTGTTGTTTTTTTCCTTTTCTTTTTAAACCATGTCAGAATCTCCAAAGACTTTTCATAAAACAAGTGAAATCACTGTTTGTTTCATCATTTTAAGGAAAGTGATCCGAATTCACACCAAAACAGAATAGTTCCTGCTTTTGATCGTGTCTCACCAAGTTTCAGCTGCTTAGTTTTTACGTAATATTATTAGAACGTTGTTCAAATAAAAGGAAACAAATCAGATCATGAAGAACTGAATACTGTGGAAAACAAAATCATCTGTTCTTTAAGGGTAGGATTCGAGCTCGAGACAAAAATCAAAGTTAAGATTGTTCAGGTGTTCCCTTCATTTACTTTTTGTATATTTTGAAACAGGCAGTAGCCTTGGCAGAAGAGATGAAATAACGAAGCGCTATTGACTGAAGGAAACAACCGAAAGTGTCTTACATGTCTCTTTTTTACTGCATTTCTTAACTTCTAACTGATGGTGAACAGTTTCAATCAAAATCACTTCAACTTTGATGCTTGATAACAAAATACTTTATTTAAATAACAATAAATAATACAACTGGAGATCAAATAAATAAATAGATGCAATAAATAAATAAATAAAATCATTATAACTCACGCCTAAGCGTAACGATAATTTGAACATTCTTCAGCACTTACTGAATGAAGATACTGGAGTTGAACCAGCGAGCTTATGCCTGAGTAAACTTCCTTCAGTGCAGACAGTTGTGCAGCAGGTACATTGTAGAACTTGGTCAGTAGTTGAAAGAGATGGTAGTGACTAATTAGGACAGCTTGTTCTGATGTGATAATAGAGATTTGATATTTGTTGTGCTATTATTTGATGAGGCTGAAGTTGAAGAGGTTGCAGGACGTTTACTTCCTGTGGTCTCCCGAGGAGATGTAGCCAATGGCTCGGTTGATAGTGATGGCTCTGATGTGGAAGCCTTTCATCATCTTATTCATCTCCAGCCGGTTGTTGTAGGACTGGATTGCCAAAGTGCCCCACACTTTGGCATCCTGTTACAACAGGAGAGGATAGAGTGTGAATGCAGGACAATAAGGTCTCAGGAAAAGAAACCCCAAATACTCAAGATCAGTGATCCTAAAGACTGAAAGACAAGGTGTAAATATGGAACAAAGAATATAAAAATACCTTTGAGGGCAGGTTCTCTACGTCCAGCTGCGGAAAGCAGTTCTGTATAAACCGAGGAATATTTAGTTAGACAAGTACTTCCCAGGAGATTCAAACTATTTCACCTTGAAGTCTCGATGTCTCAATTTTAAAAAAGAAATTACAAGATAAACACACCTCTGTGAGATTCTTTGTGATTTCCACGATTGGGCTCAGAAGTCTAATTTCCTCTGGACCATTTTTGAGAGGACCTGTGAGGTAAGATGCAATCGCTTCATGATAGTAGAGCAGGTCCTTCTTTATGTTCTTCAGACATTCAGTCTGTCAAAACAATGGGAAAACCCCGTTCAGTTTCAGCTACAATACCAACACATGCATATGAATCATAGCTTCTTTTTTATAGAATATACAGTGTGTCTGACACTGACCTCACTGAAGGAAGAATTTCTTTGTGTCACGCAACCTAAGTTCTGTGCAGGAAAACAAACAGACATTTAAAATCAGCAATGTTTACACTACAGTCATTTGAAGTTGCCCAACCAATTAAAACACAGTGAAAGCTGAACTGAAATTATGACAGCTGTCAGCTGTCCCCATAAACTGTGCTGCTTTGAGAAAAGGCTCACCTGAGTCAGAGTGGGTGCACAGGCCAGTACGGTCTCCCCAGTATTCCTCATCTCAATTTTTTCCGATTGGATACCATCACTCAAATAAATCTGTAATACACAGTAAAGAAATTATTGCTACAGAGTAGAATAATCACGGATAAACGACACAGATACCGAGAAAAAAAAGGGAGGAAAATCAAGCAAAAATCACACGCTGCTGAGATTTGTACTCACGCTGTCCAGAGCTTTTGAGATGTTCAGCAGGAGCATCTTGTAGAAGTCGGCGCACTGACCGCCGGTCCCCGGGCTCGGTGCGGGCACCGGGAGAGCTTCGGATGTGCGCCAGCTCAGGGACAGCAGCAGCACACAGCTGGCGACGTCTGCAAGGAAAGAGAGAAACAGCCGTCAACGCACGAGTCTACACGGGCATTACGACACCCAGTTTGCACGAGCACGCAACAGAGCAATTTAAATAACAGCCTATCTGACTTACATAGTTGAATGTTTGCCATAAGACTGCTGATCAGATAGGGAACTTGGTCAGAGCTTGGTAAATCAGCACTGTTTCAGTCTCCGTATGATGCTGGGGTTTATATACTTAATAGCTGGGGGGGGGGATTCCCTTAACTAAAACTAAAAGCATACATCATTATGTAATTTTTTGTATGGTTGAAAGAAAAACAAAAGATCTCTCTCTCTCTCTCTTTGATTAATAGTCTTAAATACCCAGCTCTGGGAAAAATTAATGCGCGATTTATGAGAGCATTTCCTATGTACCAAGGTGTAAAAAAGTCCACAATGATGAATAGCCTTCTAGTGAGGTAATCGTTGAGATCTTTTTTATATTAGGGGAAAATAAACAAGGAGTTTGCCGATGTGATTGTTGCAGATTGACAAGAAGCATCTATGAGGGGCACTTTCGATAAACTATATATACTCACAAGCTGAGATTCGTTCAGCATCCATGTCCAGTGCCTTTACTTTCAGACTATATATAGCCCACAGTCCTGGAAGCTGACGACGCCCTAGTCAAGTGACGGCGTTTGCATATTTGCATCAAATCAAAACAACACGGATGGATGACGATGAAGGGAAATTAGTTTTTTAAGCAAAATTTTCAGTACATTGAAGCGCATGCACTGCGCAGCCTGTTCTCAGAAAGTGTGCAGTGTTATAAAGATGCAGTGCACGTGTACCATTTTATTCACTGCAGCAGTCTGTGCTTGTGAGGTGCACAGTTATTGATTCCTGCAGACCTGGATGCAGAATAAATCATAAAAAACAGAAATAAAATAACCCAACTGTTGGTAAAAAGGAGCGGCTGATAGTAAACTAATCATAGCAGGGGCCAAACCAACATTGTGGTCTGTGGTGGTAAATTGTCAGTGGACTGTCATTAGGTGAGTAAGCGCCTCATTCACTTGTGGTAATTAATTCCACGGACGTTCTCCCCAACAGATACAACCGGGTGTCCATTCAGGCATGACTAATTACGCATGTTCTTGACCAACTGACTGATAACGTCAATGAAGAGGAGGTGGCATTATTATTATTATTATTTTCCTCGTGTTGAGGAGGAGGTGGTTGTGGTTTATGTCTGCTTTGTTTTCACTCATGCTCAAACTTGGAAAACAATGAGCAATGCCAACCAATCCCCACAGGGCAGGGTAACACGGTAGCCTGGCCATAGCGCTGTTTATCAAATCTATTAGAGAAATATCGGCTAAAGCTACAGTTTCTTTGCATAAAATATTAAATAATAACATTTAAATTACACAGTGTAGCCGCCTGACAATGTAGTCCCACCAGTATGATACTAAAATGCTGCTAAGGGACAGAGAATTAATTCACTGGATAATAAAAGTCCAAGAAAAAGTTTAAAAGAGAAGTTCTTCAGAATGGGTACTTTCTTCTACACTTAGATTATGTTCTATATATATATCAGCTCCTTTTTACTTATAAATTACCCTTTAACCACTCCAGCAAATGATATGAATGCTCCCAGTATCCATGAATGTAGTTCTGAACTGCGTATTTGCAAGTTTTTAAAATAGTTTTGTGTCGTGACACAGTGACTGTAGGTATTATTTACAAGAAGATAATTTTCAGGTGGCGTTTGGATATCAAAGTTAACTGTTAAATAACCCTACTACTTGAAACATTTAATTAAATAAATTCTCTTAAATTGGTTTTACTTTTCCGTGAAAGGAAAGTTAATCTATCCATTTTTATTTATTCATGTTTTACATGAAATAACAAAAAAGATGAAACAGACAGATGAGTGTTCATGTTCCGTGAAATGTGTATTTAACCTGTGTTAAATACACATTTCACTGAGGCTAATCCTAACGCTAACCCTGGAAGGTTGTGGATATGATCAAAACCTCCAGAACAACAGTGAAGGTGAGACTGTTTTAATGTCTATTTCATATGTGACAAATTAACTTTGAACTCTTTTTAGATGCTGTCTATGCTATGAGCTATCGTTCTGCTTTCTATCTATCCACAGAGGATCGGAGAATTACACAAGACTCAAAATGAGAGTAACGTGAAATTTTGAAACACACAAAGCACTACTTTTGTTCTCCTCTCTCACTCGTTTTCAGAAACTGCCGTCTACTGTGCTTACCCACTTTTGAAGGGAAGTGCATTCTCTGAAACTGTGGTCATCGTGTGGTTGAGAGGAGTTTCCTGGCCTTTGTCTTTGGACCATCAGACTTAAACTTACCATCACTCACTTTATACAATACAACATATGCTCAGATATATGATCCGAGAGTAAGAAGGGGAGATTTTCCAAGTAAAAACACTGTATTCATTACCAAACCTACAAGTCATATAGAACTATTTCTGTATCCTTTTACCTTTCACTGGACCACAAGTGGCCATTCGTTAAATATTTTAATTCCACAAACTGTCCTTTTTCTTGAGAAACAAAAATCCCTGAATGTGACCCAAAAGGGGTTGCCCAAATTGATATGAAGTCCCTTTAAGAGCAGAAACGCAACCCCAATAACCCTCGTAGTGAGAACTACGAGTGTCATGATGAGGCAAGACCGAAAAAGGGAGTTGAGTCATACTACGTGTGATGTGATGTCATATACTCTCACTGCTATTGTGAGGTTTTAGTTCTTGCACTCAAGGAGGAAGCTCAACTGAAAGCGCAATTTCATCTCTATGTTATGCAGCAGCAGCAAAAGCAGCAAGTAGAAGTGCACAGCAAACCGCCATATATGAAACAAAGTTTATTCTTTATTTTACATATCTGTACATAAACATTTCTTCCCTCAAATAAAGTATCTGAATACAGTAGGATGAAAACAATATTAACACACTTATTCATTTAAAATGACTCGTGTCAGAAAATCAACATTCACAAAATGTTGAAGAGCAATTAGAGTGAACGTATTACCAAAAAATCTACAACTCCACTACAAGGCAGGCATGTTTTCCTTTTACACTCTTATAGCACCTTCAAACGAACATTTCTCATCAGCTGAAAACGACCATTTGTGCAGAATAAAAACGGGTCGACTCTGAAATACTTTTAAATTACCGTCCAACTTAAAATGGTCTGAAGTTAGTTTTCCATGATTTTTTTTCTCATACAGCGTTGTTTCTTCTTTTTTCTTCTTTTTTTAAATCTCATGACTGACTTTCTACTAAATTTTTCACTATTATTTTGTTTTGTTTTTTTCTCCACAATTTTTGAGCTTGAACAGTCATAATTTAGTGGTGAATGTAGAAAGTTAAAAAAAGAAACGAGAGCAAAGCGAGGCCGATCACTGCACAGGAAGCTGGGGGACAGAATCCATGACGACACACAATCAGTTGCCTCCTCTCCCAGGAAACAGGACGTGCTACACCGTCCTTTGCGCTGGGAGAAAACCACAGAAGCGAATGAACGAGGGCGGCCTTCTTCTGTGCTGCTGCTACCGCTGAAGTCAGTGAGTTGGACAGAAAGGGAGATGGGGAGGTTCGGGAGCAGACAGGGAAGCAGCGAGGAGCAAAGTACTTAGGACAAGCGGGGAGGGGTTCGGATCGACGCGGGGCAGAGGTGGAATGGCTGGAGGGGGAAAGCTTGTTTGGGAGCAGGGGACTAAGCTTGGCATAGGGAAGCGGATTGTAGGTGAGGGTGGGGAGTGTTAGGGTGGGGGGTGCTTGGGTGGAGGTTGGGGTGGTGGGGGGCATCTTATTTGGATAGGGTTTTCTCAGCCAAATGTTTCTGCTGGCTCTCGGCATGCCTGGAAAGAGAAAAGTTTTATATTATATTTATATTGACACTTAAATGATGAATTAAGTGACTCAACAAATCCAAAGATAAACAAGAGCACTCAAGCAGGGCAACTCCCCCTGAAGAGCGAGGGCCACACTAAAACTTTGTCACAATATGATGAGCCAAGCCTGTTATGACGTTGCAGAGCGTCGTACTAAAAACACAAAGTCTGCTCTCTCCACGCCCTTTCATACAACAAGTTACTCAAATTGGTTTCTTGACTTTTTTTCATGTCCCCCAAAGCCTAGTATGTTATTGGGGAGTTTGAAGATGATTAATAAAAATTGTGGATAATATAAAGTTTTTATGATTTTTGCATTTGGTACCACCCTGACAACAAATTGGTATCGATCATCACACCAAATTTAGAAAACTGTGGATGCTAGACCGCTAACAAAGAGACAGACAGAAACGGTTACACACAGAGAACAACACCAACAGCTAAAGCTGAATATCTGATCCCCACGTGCCCTGGCTAACCTGCTGAGCCCGCCAGAGGTTTTTTCCTTTCAAAGGGAAGTTTCTGTCTCCCCAAGTGCTTGCTCATAAGGGACTGTTAGATCGCTGAGGTTCTTTTTATTAAGTTGAAAAGTTGAAAAGTCTTGACCTCTTAGTGTAAAATGTAAAAAAACTTCTTTGGTTTAAAAAAAAGGAAAATCTACTAAAATCTCTTAGGTGCACAGGTGCATTGGGTGGCATGTTCACCTTCACATGCATCACCATTAGTTTTACTTCAGGAGCTACATGCACAGCTGAAAACAGTCCCTTACAAATGGATTACTTACTCACATTTGAGTAATGTTTGCTCAAAGGGGAAGTCTGCACATTTAAGACATTAAAGCTTGCAAGTGTTTACAATTCTCAGGGAGAACTACTTCACATGTGATAAGAAGTTGCGCAAAGACTTTTACAGCCACTGAGAGAGCCGTTGAAGTGAATCCCTTGCGTTCTTTTTTATAAGTTAAAAAAATAAATAAATAGTGGGACGTGCAGTGAATAAATAGTTGAAAAGTGCTTTGCCACCTGGTGAGGTCCTCTATGTCAACCAGCATGGCGTCTTGCTCCATGTGTAGCTCATCCCGAATCAGTAGCAACTGTACGAGCTCCTCGTTGAGACCTGGAGAGATCGATAAGAGGCGGAACAGACACTGACCACAATGATACAGCATAATTTCATATTCAAACTACTGAAACTAGGGAAACACCACAATTACCACAACTGATCATACCAGTATTCCATTGTGATCCTAACAATAGATACTAAATCTACAAGAAACACTGGAAGTGATCCCCTCAAATTCCCATTATGGGTTCATACCATGGCCACTGAAAACTTTATCAGCAGTCTGACCACACACACTCCCGCTGCTCTCGCTGTCTTTAATATCACATGTTACAGCTATTGTCCCTTCAGTGCCAGAAAATATGAAGCATAAACTAAAGATATTTTCAACGGGGAAAGTCTGCTTTGTAAGTAAAAACAAACTCGTGCTTTTGGACTCCTGGGGATTTTTGGAACTTTTTTATGTAAGATGCGAGATTATTCATCCAGCAGTACAGGGATCAATGATGTGTACCGTGCAGTAACAGTAAATGCTCAGGGGAAGCTGTTAACTGGTACAACTCTCTGAAGTGACTAACTTATATATAAAAGTACTTTCACATCCACTAAAAAGGGTAGGGGTCACTATGTATGTGCATGTTTTTCCCCAGTTTATCTCTTGCTCATTTCTGCAAGTGAAAGCAGAGGTCAGCGTGATTCTGTTTGTATTCTGGGCGTGTGGTCAACTCACTTTCAATCTGGGAGTGCAGGTCGTTTACTATAACCTGGAGCTGTCCCACTGTCATGTCTCTCAGGTCTGTGGGCTTCAGGCTCCTTTTCATTAGACACTCGCTGATGTGTGGCATGTGTGGAAGCTGCCGAAATAGACACACAGAGTTATGTAGGGGAGAAAAAACAAGAGCAGAAAACCCTGTTAGACAATGTGTTTTCCCTAATTGGATAGTGAAACCTCACGCTAATAACCAAAGCACAAAATGCACAACTGACTTCTTTACTTTTTAAAAATATTTATATTTGAATGTTTACAGATGACAAACTGATCAAATTAACAGAAAACTGATGCATTTAATATTCCTTAAATCCAACGTGCAAAAAGCTCCATAAAGGCTGTGACTGCAGCTCATGATCCCGAGCCTTTAAACCACACAGAAACCACACTAGAAACAAATTGCCCTTCACACCCTCACGCCACTGGAAAGTGGCTCGTCCTCATCGTCTTATATTTTATGTTTATACATTTTATCGCTGTAACGCCAAGTGTATCATATTTGATACGTCAGTTTTCGAGACCTCTACATCATCAGTGATTTTTTTTAACCCCCTTATATGTTTATGTCAGTTTAAAGAAACGAATGCCGAATGTAGCGAAAATTCATATATTCAAATTGATATTCATT